ACATAGCGCTCGGAGATTACAGTTACAGTAGCCCTTTGTGCATCTGCGAAAAAATAAGGACTAATCAATCCAAGACGGCTTACAGCACACCAAGCGGTGACTTTCTCACTGAAGTGGGCGTTAATGCACTTCACCAGGCTTTTTTGCTGCCCAATATCGGAAGTTCTGTTTGTTAACAGAACAGTTCAAATGAAAATGAACCTCATCGGTCATCATTATTACTTGTTCATCAGCAAAAATCACGAAAAGTCATGAAAAATCTCCCTCTTTTAGTTGTTGAACAACGATAAACTTATAGGGGTCTTGGTGTAAAATTTTGCGAAGTGTTCGACTATTCATTCGGAGTGCCGCAGCCCGTTTTAGAACAGAGCGCTATATTACCATTACTGCTTATCTCACCTTTTCTACGAACCCAGATGTCCTTACATTTCGAGGACGACCATGCGGATTTTAAGTCATTGCTGATGCTGTTGATCCAAAATTCTGTACCCATCGTAGTCCTCAGTCCGGTTTCGGAACTGAACCGTCACGACCCGATGTCCAGATAACCGTTATGACTTACAAACGAATGACCTTAGCTAATTAAGCAATTTAAGTTATTTTCAGAACTTATTTAAATAAGTTCACTTTTTAATTGTTAAATGGTTATAAATAATTTTTTTTCAATTAAACACCAGCTGAGTTATTCTCATTTCAAAAACGACCTTCCATTCTGCCCCACCCTGTATAAATTGATTTTTATACATATTTATTTGGTTTCATTAATAAACACCATCATTACTTACAGTTAGTGAAACTGTGCTTAAAACAACACTTGTATTCGGTCGTAATAGGAAAATGGGCCACCCACTTTCAAACGTTGGAATTCTGGTCTAAATTTCGTTCTCAACAGCTGCTTTTATTCATCTTATTTTCGAGTTGATCAGAATATAAAAGAAAAAATTTGAAACGGAAAATTAATTTCGCAAGACTTTTTTTGACGGATTTAATTAAAATTCGTTTGACAACAAGCAGTTTTGGCATAGATTTTCAAAGTACATTTCTCGCAGATGAACCTTTAGGCGCCGGGATAGTATATTTAGACCACTTGTGTTTTGTATTGGCCCTAATAATTCCGGGTGCGTTGTAAAACAAAAATAAATGCTCACCACCGATGGTTCTGCTGGCGCATTTTCGCCAACAAACAACACGAACCGTGTTTATTTATTATCAGTGGCGTTTCCTTCGTTTACACCTGCACATATTCAATTCGTGTAACCCCAATTACATATACCATAACTCATCAGAGACAAACAACGTCTAAATTTAAATTATTTCCCAAATTTTAATCGGCATTTACTAAGTTTATTTAATATTTTGCGCTGTTACTTTTGGTTAATTTCCAAAGTTACGCAATCTAAGCTATGTGTCAACAACGAGTATTATATTTTGTAAATTGTTTTAATTTTAGATTAAATTTCGCAATTTTGTGTTTGTTGCGAAAAAATGTTTGAATTTACGATTCTCTTTAGGTCTTGTTTCGAAAGATTGTGTTTATATTGAATTTCCTGTTTGATATAGAAGTTTACCAACCAAATTCAAGTTTAATGTATTTAAGTATCTAACTATACTTAAATTAATGCCAATATTGATCATAATTTACTTGTGGTGATGCAAATGGGTTTAAAAATGAATTTATACATAAAAGTGATAAATCAAATTTAATTTTCCATCGTAATTAATATCAAACACCTGCAAACATGGTAACATTATAATTTAAATTCTCATATGTTGCCAAAATGAATTCTAAACATAGTTTTCACTTATATTTTAATAATTTGATTAGAAGTTTTTATTTGAAAATGAAATTAATAAAAAAATTATTATAAATAAAATTTTAGTTATTACCTCCTTGAATCTCATCTTTCAAAGTTTCTGTTTACTTAAAGCTGTTTTATTTAAGTCGATGTGAAAAAATGTATTAACGGTTCTCCTCGAAATAGCGTAATGGATTCGAGATTTTTGAACATCCAGTCACAAGGTTAAATAAAAGTCTGTTTGAAATCTAAACATCGATTTTTAACACAAAAGCTGTTTACTATATAATTATTTCATCGTAAGATGAATGAATGAGAACTCATTGAGGAAAAAAAATGTACCTTACCACTTTTTCCTACACCGGGGGCACCAATAACAGCTACCTTAACTTCGGACAGCGAAGATTTTTTTCTTCTGATGCCCTTACTGTTCATATTGAACATATAGTCGGTCGTGAAAGGCACTGTGAAGAAATTAAGCGAGAAATTTCAGCCTTACTTTTTTTAATTAATATTGTTTCGCGAAACTTGGTAAGAAACGCGTAAGGTGTACCGTATTAAGGCTAGTTTAAGTAAGTATTGGACGAAACGCAGAGTCAGACTGAACGCTCTCACACGTTTCGAAAAGCCACACACTAGTACAGAACACAGTTTTAATTATAGTATCGCAAGACGATAACCCAAATTCTACGCGAAACGGTATTCTCAAAAATTTCTTTGTTAAATTATTTCTCTAAAAATTTTTTAATACTTAAACATTTTTTTTAATAAAAACAATAATCTAATAAATCTATACAAACATAGCAATTTGTATATTTTCTTAATGAACATCGGTTTACATTTAACATGTAATTATTTGTTCGATCTTTAATGCTAAATCATAAGTCACGTAAATTATCGATATAAAATCGTATAAAAATAAATATAAGACAAAAACAGGGCACAGAGCTAAACTTAAAATAAAATTAAATAAAAATATTGTTCAATATCTTGCAATTAAACGTGTACACCTTCATTTAGATAAATTCAATAAAAAGTTCATGGCGTCATTAAGAAAATAATTAAACCACAAATTTACTTCGGTTAGTTTTAGTTTACTGCCGGAATAACAAAAGTATTTGCTTTTGAGCGGATAAACTGTTCGTTGTAAATCTAGAATCTTGAAAATAACATGCAATAAAAGAGTTTTAATTAAAATCAAGAGAATAAGGTGAAATTGTCTGTTATGTTGATGACGCTGAGAACATAGCAGACTCAAAGATGCACTCATTCAACTATAACAACTGTATTTTTAAGAATCATGATATGATATGTATGTTAAATTGAAGCTTAAAGATTCTAGTTTATGATATGATATAAAAACTATAAGGTAATATTATTAAAATTTCCAGGAAATAATTATTAAAGAAGAAATTGCTAAATGTGTAAATCAAAGATGTATAAAATTTTCAAAAAATCATGTCGACTGTATCTTTAAGAATCATTATATGATATGTATGTTAAATTGAAGCTTAAAGATTCTAGTTTATGATATGATATAAAAACTATAAGGTAATATTATTAAAATTTCCAGGAAATAATTGTTAAAGAAGAAATTGCTAAATGTGTAAATCAAAGATGTATAAAATTTTCAAAAAATCATGTCGACTGTATCTTTAAGAATCATTATATGATATGTATGTTAAATTGAAGCTTAAAGATTCTAGTTTATGATATGATATAAAAACTATAAGGTAATATTATTAAAATTTCCAGGAAATAATTGTTAAAGAAGAAATTGCTAAATGTGTAAATCAAAGATGTATAAAATTTTCAAAAAATCATGTCGACTGTATCTTTAAGAATCATTATATGATATGTATGTTAAATTGAAGCTTAAAGATTCTAGTTTATGATATGATATAAAAACTATAAGGTAATATTATTAAAATTTCCAGGAAATAATTGTTAAAGAAGAAATTGCTAAATGTGTAAATCAAAGATGTATAAAATTTTCAAAAAATCATGTCGACTGTATCTTTAAGAATCATTATATGATATGTATGTTAAATTGAAGCTTAAAGATTCTAGTTTATGATATGATATAAAAACTATAAGGTAATATTATTAAAATTTCCAGGAAATAATTGTTAAAGAAGAAATTGCTAAATGTGTAAATCAAAGATGTATAAAATTTTCAAAAAATCATGTCGACTGTATCTTTAAGAATCATTATATGATATGTATGTTAAATTGAAGCTTAAAGATTCTAGTTTATGAGATGATATAAAAACTATAAGGTAATATTATTAAAATTTCCAGGAAATAATTGTTAAACAAGAAATTGCTAAATGTGTAAATCAAAGATGTATAAAATTTTCAAAAAATCATGTCTACTGTATCTTTAAGAATCATTATATGATATGTATGTTAAATTGAAGCTTAAAGATTCTAGTTTATGATATGATATAAAAACTATAAGGTAATATTATTAAAATTTCCAGGAAATAATTGTTAAAGAAGAAATTGCTAAATGTGTAAATCAAAAATGTACAAAATTTTCAAAAAATCATATCGACTGTATCTTTAAGAATCATGATATGATATGTATGTTAAATTGAAGCTTAAAGATTCTAGTTTATGATATGATATAAAAATTATAAGGCTATATTATTAAAATTTCCAAGAAAAAGATTGTTAAAAAAGATATTGCTAAATGTCTAAATCAAAGCAATACAAATACTTGACAAAATCATATCGACTGTATTTTTAAGAATCATGATATGATATGTATGTTGAACTGAAGCTTAAAGATTCTAGTTTATGATATGATATAAAAACTATAAGGTAATATTATTAAAATTTCCAGGAAATAATTGTTAAAGAAGAAATTGCTAAATGTGTAAATCAAAGATGTACAAAATTTTGAAAAAATCATATCAACTGTATCTTTAAGAGTCATGATATGGTATGTATGTTAAATTGGAGCTTAAAGATTCTAGTTTATGATATGATATAAAAACTATAAGGCTATATTATTAAAATTGTAAAAAAAACATTGCTAAATGTCTAAATCAAAGTAATACTAAATTTTGAGAAAATCAAATCGACTGTATTTTTAAGAATCATGATATGATATGTATAAACATATTATATTATATTTTCTATGATTCTAGTTTATGATATAATCAACGTCAAATTATTTTATAAAGTCATCCTCAAAATTCACCGACATCAAACTGTCACTTTCTCGCTGTCATAAAAATATGTTTTTCTAAAATTTGTTCGTAATTTTAATCATTATAATTTAAAAAAAAACTGTAAAAGTAATTCCATTTTAAGGAAACAATCCCCAAATATTTAAATTATGGAACCAAAAGCAGAACCATCAAATGACGATCCGAATAACGTCACTAACATCTTGGGTTTAATCATCTCCATACTAGATTGGTTGAAAACTACTGGAAAATCAGGACAACCGGATCTTATTTGCCCGGAAAAATGTGAAATTGATAATGCAATAGATAAATTGAGAGAAATGACCACGAAATTGGGAACGGTGGATAGCCATAAATCTTGTAATTGTAAAGAAGGGGAAGATGAAAACGATTCCGAAAAAATCCCATGTTTTGGTGGGGAAGATGGTGGAAGATGTAAAGATCCTACATGCGAAACGTGCGAAAAAATCCGTAAACGTAAAGAAGAGGAAGGATCTAAAGATTCTTATCCAGCACGTATCGTTAAAGAATTAGTCGAAAAATGTTCAAAACCTTCTATACCGGATACTAAAAATTCAGTTAAACTCATCGAAAATGAAGAGCCCCCAAAGGAAATACTAGAAAACAACGATGATGAATGTCCAGTATTGAAAATGTTATTTATGAGTTGTAATAAATGTTGTCAAACTTCAAAAGAAGCGCTAACGGAAAAACCAAAAATCGATCAAGATGATGATAAATTAAAGAAAACCAAAACCAGTTGCAATTGTAATAATGAAGCTAAGGATAAAGCTGCTGTTGTCACTTATAACCGAGTTAATCAATCCAAAGTGATAACTTACGAAAAGAAAGTACAAGCGCATCAATTCCAGATTATGTACGAACAACGTAAAGCTGTGTTAAAAAGTATGTACGAAGCGGCACTTTCAGATAGTAATCGAAATTTTAGAAACGGCCCTGTTGTTCGACCTGGACAAGGAAGTAAGATAATTAATATAATTTTAAACTTTAGATTACGTTTAAAGAATTCGAAGGGATCTTACAACATTTTCACGATGTACTCATCTACCATTTTCTTAACTATTATTAATTGCCTTTTGCAGCTGATTGTATACGTTTTTGTGACGTAGATTTTTTTGAGATCATTTCTTTTTTGAGCTATTTTTCTCCTTTTTAAATTCCTCTCTTCCATAGATAAACATAATTTGTTTTCCTTTGTTGATTGGAAAAATGACTTGCTTTATCCATAGTCTCTTTTAAGTCCTATCTGAATTCGCTCCTCTCTCTGAACTCGCTAGAAAGTGCCATTCCTCTATTTTTCGGAATTATTTAATTTAGTTTATACTCGCCATCTACACAACAAAATCCAAAGCTGCACCTCTCAACAATATTCCATGATTGGTAGTAACCTACATCAAATATTGACTTTTTTGTATGTTATAAATTCTTTTTATTCTTTAAAATTTCTTAAATACTAAAATAAATATTTTTTTCTTTTAGCTTATAGAGCAGTGGAAATCGCTTATGCAAGTGAAGATGATGATATGGAAGACGAAGACGACGTCGAAAATCCTTACAAAGATCTTTGCAGACAGATGAGACAGGTAACAATTTTGTTTAGAAAAACTACAAATTGTTCTAATAATTAAAATTATTAATGAAAATTGTTTTTTTAGAATCTACTAAAAAAATCAATTAACTCGTAAGCTATATGAAAAGATTGGTTATTAATTATCAAGTAACAATCAAAATCTTAATTCCATCATAGAGAGGCCGTTTCAGTTTTTGCTGTCTTAACCTTGAACGTTGCCTCTTACGCAATCTTCAATAAGACAGAAATCGAAACGTTCTCTTTATGACTCGTATCATTATGGGACCCCATCGTGAGGACGTGATGTGATCACATCACAAATGACTCTATTGTTAACTTTTTCTTCTTTATACATACCAACATATGAAACAGTTCAATACCTTATTCTCATAATAAAGAGTTCTTAAATAGATTTTTCTATATATAAACAATATAAAAGACCTTCGTTTTTATTTTTTTAAGAAAAGATTATCGTTTTCATGAAAACAGAATTATTATGTAATTGATAATAATTTATAGGACCCAAATGATGTTTATGGTTGCCTCCCTTCGCAGTACTTCAAACCTTGTCCTTACCAATCATCGAGGATACCTCAAAGAACTGCTTTGAGTGATCGTGGAGGAATGCCCTACCAATCCTATCGTCATTACCAAGAATTGAGGTATCCTAAGGTAAGCGAAGGAGTGAAGAGCTCTGCGTCTCCACCAAGAGGTAGAGTTGCATTATGTGGTCCTCCGATTAAAATATCCCTAAAAGAAAACAGTTCAAGGGAATCGTCTAGAGATGCGACTCCCGCAAGCGTCGGGTCAAGATCGCCTTCTAAAACCGGATATACACCACCAGCAGACTGTGCAAGACGACTGATCGAAGCTATTATGAAAAATCCTACTTGCCCGGCATTCGAAGTACTAAAAGAAGCAGCCAAACTGGACGACGAAATTGAGGAGGAATCTTCAACTGAAGGCGAAAGTAGGAATCAATCGAGACGATCTAGTTCTGGAATGTGTTACGAGGATTGTAATGGAACTCTAAAGAAGAAACGATCACAATCCGGAAAGTGAAACTATTAATATTTTTTTGATTTATTGCTTTTTTGGTATTGTGAGTAAGGGATTGTTTGGAATAAGTAAATATTCATTTGTAAGTTGTATTAATCTTTTTCAACTTGGAACCATCTTGCTGAGTATAACTTTACTCTATCAACTCTATCATAAGCTTTTTTTTAAGTATTTTACACACATACAGACACAGCATCCCCGTCACGTTGAAGTGGGAACCCCACTATCTAGGAAACTATCCTGCACAGATATAGTAGATCCTCCTGTAGATCCTGCAGAAAGACATGGGTAGGTAAGTATGTCGGACTTCGAATTAGCTATATCCACTTTCATATTCTAAAGCCGTGTGTCCACTACCAAGTTTTCTTGCGGAAGTTGCTTCCAGAAGTGACTTCCAGAAGTTTTTGTCGTGTAAACACGTATTAGAAGTCACGGCTTGCAGAAGTTACTTGCAGCAATTATGTGGAAACACGTGTTTATTGCTTGCTGGAAATAACTTGAACGACTTTCTGTGAACTACAAGTGTTTTGAAGACTTGCAGAAGAAGTCGGGTATACGTGAGTAAACGGTTTGTGGTATTCTCTTCTGTTTTCAGTTTTTTTTTTTGAGTTCTTTTCAAAATTTATAAAAATGGACAAAAATAAATTCGTTTGGAGTAATGAAAAAACACATTTGGTAATTGAAAAACAAGAAAGTTATCCTGAATTATGGGACACGTCCTCAAAAGACTATAAGAATAAAATTAAAAAACAAAATGCTTCGAAGAGTAACTAAAAGCCGGTCTTTGGGAGGTATAGCCAATCTCATTTTAGTATCCTGCTTAATTAAAGATAAAATGTATGCAAAATCATCATTAGACATTCTCAGGAATTTTTTCAGCTGCATGGAGTCTTCGGTCCGCAATTCTTCAAGTAATGTATTTTGGAAACTTAAATCTACGCGCCGCAGCACCCAATTTCTCACCCAAACACTTCTTTTTGTTTTTTTTTTTAATTTGTGTCTTTTTAATTAAATATGCTGCGATGGCAGCTGCCAATCTTCTTTTGCCACAAGACATTTTTATACTGTCATTCGTAAAAAAAGCAAACTACTGCAAGCTGTACTCACATTGTGTGGAAACACGTCTGCAATTTCTTGCAGCAACTTCTACAAACTACTTCTGGAAGCAGACTTCCGCAAGTTTCAGTTTGAGTGGAAACACTTCAGCAAATACTTGCAGAAGTTCTTCCGCAAGTGACTTGCTAGTGGACACACGGCTTAAGATATACATACAGGGTGACATAGAAAAAAGTACATTGCATAGTGCCACACAATAGAGGACACTAAAATAAGAAAAAAAGTTCCTATGAACATGGGTCCGCAAGGCCTACGGTTAAAAGATACGGGATGTTGAATTTTCATTTTTTTTGGGGTTTTTTTTTTTGAATATCTTTAGCCAGAGACGCAAAAAATGGATAAAATGTGGTATACAGGGGTTTTTTATCATGCTAAATTCAAATATGATCTTAGTTTTGTGATTACTGATGGAGAGCGCTACATACATACAGGATTCCATCTCTATTGAATCGGTCCTAACTTTTTCTTTTTTGCTATACACTGTATGTCATTTTCGACTGAAAAAATTTTTTATCAATGCATCTGAAAGCCGACAATGCACGCTAATTATTCAAAAAGCGCCAAAGTAACCTTTGCAAAAACAATGATAAATAACAATTGAATAATGTGTCATAATTTAGTGTCCTCTATTGTGTGGCACTATGCAATGTACTTTTTTCTATGTCACCCTGTATAATATTTTTCCTAAAAATATCAATAAATTCGATATATTTTTTTGAAGTCATCTTGATCATTGGGTATTTATTAAAACTAATCATTTTAATTATTTGCATTGCATATTTGCATTTTATTTAATATGTATACACATTAAATACAGTAGGTATATTTCTTATCACTACGAACGCAATACATGATCTCGTACGTGTGCTACCATCTAACATTTTTTGCATCTTTTGTTGTTGAAATTTCAGTGGTAATACTAAACTAGGTAGACACTTGTATCGGGTAACAATAGTATCGCAGATAAAATAATAAAAAAAAATCATGAGGGATTCGTGCTAAGGAGGAAAGGAAATTAAGGGAGATCACAAACTACTCTTCCGGTCCTATCTACATTCGACTACACCTATCTATACGAAAATCGGAAAAAAATTAACATAAAATTATCGTATATGAAAAATATACAATGACGAAACGATTGGGGTAGGCGTTTTGCGAGAAAACGAGCGGCACCAGTCACTAAGCACGCTAAATCTCGCAAGACGACCGAACAACCCGGTGCATAAATAAATTTAGATTAACAATTTTAAGAATTACATTATACATTAAGAATTTTAAGATTTTTAAATTTTTCTTTTGAAACGGATTTAAAGCGCTGGCGCTTTCAACTTGTTAATAGCGTTAGATAGGTGTAAAACTTCAGTGTTGAGCTGGTGGACTAACGATTCAAGTTTATCAACCGAATCGAGTACTTCAACTCTTCCGGTGTGTGGGTTGAATCTAACTTCGAAGGGCCTAGACATGGTGGAAACCCAGCGTCTGAATTTATCCTTGGCATCCTCGAAACTTTCGGCAACGTAATAAATCGGTTGGTATTCTTGATCTTGGTAAGGTTGAACGGCGGTGGAAGCTGGTTCGAATGGTCTTAATTCTGGTTTATCGCTCAACGCGTGTAAAAGTTCACCATAAGCGCTCAACAATCCCGCTCCATAAGCTTTGATCTCACCTTTTTCTTTGCATAAACCGAACTCAACCGTGAACCAGTAAACCTGCAAACAAAGACCCACTTTAGATTATATAAATAACGTTTTCGCAATTGGCTAGGAGTGCAATTATGGGATTTTACTTTGATGTGCCACCTGTATGTATTAACTAGTGACCATGACACATTACACCAGATACGTGCCGAGATAATTAAAAAAGATTATTCTTAAAAGGGATTCAAATATGATTTAAATTTTCATTCGAAATTAAGAATAGAATAAATCCTTATAACTTACGGTGGATAATTTCTCGATTTCCTCATCGGATGCTCCCAAAGAAGCCAATCCGATCTCCTGGGAGAATTGAGCAAAGCTTGGATCGGCCAAAAGAGGCATGTGACCAAGGAGTTCGTGGATGGAGTCTCTGTAATGCGATAAAACAAATCCGGCTATAATTTCAAGTGAAATTAAATTAAAATTCGCTCCGGACAATATTATTTCCCGGAGAATATCGTCCCAAACTAGTTTAAAGTTCCCCCTCTCGATATTACACGGCCCTTTAATGGCGTTAATAACTTAATTATCTTCGGATGCTTTGATAATGCAGACTACTTACGGTTCGGGGGTGTGATACGGAGAGTTGACGTGACGGACATATTGTGTGCTTTGGAAGATACGGAAAGCCAGCGATGCCAAGAAATCACGAGATGTTAAAAGTCCGGCCGCGGGACGCAACGTGAATCCCGTTTGACTTTGAAGGAATTTGCTCATATCCTCCAATTGAGGGATACGATCCGCTTTAAAAATGTTGGCATCTTCTAATTTAGCGAAAACCCTGTTGTATTCGGCGCAAGCATGTTTTGGCATTAAATCCTTAACGGTGTTGAAAACGGCCGCCCAAGTTTTGTTCTCAGTTTCGGAATAATCGATGTAAGGAATCGGATCTCCGCTGCAAGTAAAAGAATTATTTGTATTGAATTGACCCAATTTAAATTTCTTCAAGGTTCACAAGTCGCCACTTTATCCTTATATTGTGGGCGTGTTAAGTTATTAAAAGCGACAAAAATCGGTTTCGTATTAGCATTAAGGTTAACAGACAATTCACATTTCTGAAATTACCTTGTGCGGAGCCGGAATGTCTGTGCAAGAACTCAAGATCACCGGTTGTGATTGTTAATTACGAATTAATTATCGTTGATTTGATTAATATCTAATGAACTGTATATGTCTCAAGGTTCTTTTAGGATTAAATAATACTTACTATTTGTATGCGAATGCAACTTCGGCAATATATTTACGCCTTGCCCTATATTCTTTGTCAGCAAATCCGGGATGGTTCATATCCAAATCGGGTTCATACTTGGTCATCAAATGATTACAGTTATCCAATTCGCTGGCGTGACGTGGGAACCACGGAGTTTTAACACTGATATTATCTTCTCCCATCAAAGACACGGTGGTCAAAGTGGAGGATTGTCTCAATGATTTAATGAGTTGCAATAAATTTTGACGAGTCATCTCCACTTTGACAAGCATGTCCATTTGGGTTGATTCCCCTTTTCCTGGGCGAGTTTCCAGATGACAAACGGTTCCGTTATATTTTTCAACCGTTTTCAATACTCTCGATACGGAGTTCATTCCTTCTTTTAGACGAAGAACAAGAGCAGCCTTTTGGACGACTTTATCTCCATCGGCTTGTTCGCTAGCGGCGTTCTGTAAGATAACTTCTTCTTCGGTGAGTCCGACATCTAGATCATAAGGAAAAAGTTACATAAAAGGACCATTAGTTAAATCGAAAATTTATTAACTCGCGCTTTTACGACTCGACAATTTTTTTATTACTTCACCCCACGACAAATGGAGGGCGAAAATTGACTTGAAAAGTGCCGGACGTGGCTTTTATGCCCCTTTGTTACGATCATTTTCCTATCCGGCGACTTTCAAGAGAGCTTTTAGCGACAAAAAATCGATTCTTACCTGCTCCATCCTCGACTTGGTGTTCAACTTTTTGAATTGGTTCTTCAATTTCCGGTTCACAACTGGAGTCTACTCAAACGACACAAAAAAAAAATAACAACATTTAACATGCAACAATCATGCAAAACAAAAATTAATTTTTAATAAGAAATATGACTCACCATTAGCCCTAAGACGAGCTTCATCCAGTACGGTTTGTTTGGTTTGCTTCACCACAAGGGTCTCAAAACGAGCATCGTCCACTAAAGAACGACGTCTTGCCGGATACCCATTCTGAAATAATAGAGGGAAAAATTAAGTATTGATCAAAGAAATAGAGGCGTAATTCTGGCTTTGACAAGAACGGGAAATTAGGAAACTTTTAGGAAATGAACTCGAGAACAATCGTGTGCAGTCATCCTGAGAGTCTTTAAGTTTGAACTTTATCTTGAGGAAATGTTATTCGCATCAAGTAACTAAAATGATTTGCAATAAAAATTTGCAATAACTTTCATTCTAAAAAAAAATCTAAATGTATTTCAAACATAACAAAGTCTTTTACTTAAGTTTTTATCCCATTAACCGTGATCTCACCAATAACTAGCTCTGCCAGGTTCAAACTCTATACAATTTACAACTTAATTACACTGATCTCTCCGTAAGTGGTAATTCGAATAGTGCAGTAAGTTCAATTTGCACTCTAAAAGTCCAGTTACTATGTTTACTAATAAAGAAGTCGGATTCTCAAGGATAATTTTTATTTTTTTGTTATAAACTCGGTTTGTTCTTCTATTAAGATACTTTCTTTTACATGTACAGGGTGGTTCAAATTCGATGTCCGAATAGGCTATCTCGGAAACTATAAGAGCTAGAAAAAAAGTAGCTTACATGTCATGATCTCGTTATTCGAGAAACTGTTAATGCCAAAAACCTCAAAGCGCTACCGTCTTTTGTTTTTCCCCTAGAGACCAAAATTGAAAATATCGTAAAACCAGCAAGTGCAATTATCTTGGTTATTATTATAGGTGGAGTATTATAACTAAAACATTATATGGACACTTTTTTACAGAGAATTTGATGATGTAGTCAAAAAATTTTTTTCGAATTTATATTTTGAGATATTGTCACAATTTTCGTTTTTTTAAATGGATACAACCACTCATTATTCGCTTGTTAAATTCGTTATTTTTTTCTGATTACAAAAATATGGGGTTAGATAGGTCTATTTCTTATTGTTTTGGAATAAAACTAAAAATAAACTTTTTTTTGGTGTCGTCAAAGAAATTAAATTTACAGTTTCCTGTAAATTATAACTAAAAATTAAAAAAAAACATATTAATGATATTTGAAACAAATATATTTGTTGAACTATTTAATTTATATTTGTTTTAACACAAAAGTTGGAATAGATTGCATTAATTCTCATTTTTTATTAATATTTAATATTATTATTAAATAAAAATTTTAAAAAAATTAAAATTAAATGACATTTGTATTCAAAAATTTTCTTTTAAGATCGATTACGAAAAGTTTAACATGTTAGAATGTTACATATTAAAAAATAAAGTAAATTTTATATAAATTTTTAGTAGAATAATTTTTAGTTATAGTTACAGGAAACTGTAAATTTAATTTCTTTGACGACACTAAAAAAAAATTTATTTTTAGCTTTTTAATTTAATAATTAAATAAGAAGATAACTTCTGGTATTTAAAAACAAATATTTTTTTTAATATGTAACGTTCTAACATGTTAAACTTTTCAAAATTTTCGTAATTCATCTTAAAAACAGGATTTTTAAAGTGACACATCAGAAAATTTTTTAATATAAACAAATGGCGCCATCTATCAATAATTTATTAAGTCATTTAAGAATAATATTAAATATTAATAAAAAATGTGAAATAATGCAACCTATTCCAACTTTTGAATAATTACATATATAAATTAAATAGTTCAACAAATATATTTGTTTCAAATATCAGAAATATGTTTTTTCAATTTTTAATTATAGTACCGTAATTTACAGGAAACTGTAAATTTAATTTCGTGGAAGACACTAAAAGAAAAGTTAATTTTTAGCTTTATTCTAAAACAATAAGAAATAGACCTGTCAAACCCTATATTTTTATAATCAGAAAAAAATAACGAATTTAATAAGCGAATAATCAGTGGTTATTTCCATTTAAAAAAACGAACATTGTGATAATATCTCAAAATCTAAAACCGAAAAATTTTTTTTGACTACGTCATCAAATTCTCTGTAAAAAAGTGTCCATATAATGTCTTAGTTATAATATTCCAGCTATAATAATAACCAAGATAATTCCACTTGCTGGTTTTACGATATTTTCAATTTTGGCCTCTAGGGGAAAAACAAAAGACGATAGCGTTTTGAGGTTTTCGACATTGGAACTTATTTAAAAAAAGAGATCAAGACATGTAAGCTACTTTTTTTCTAGCTCTTATAGTTTCTGAGATAGCCTATTCGGACATCGAATTTGAACCACCCTGTACTCTTCGAGTTTCTTTTCTACTTGAGCACATCGTGACCGAAAATTTTACCAAATTCACTTCCTGCCGAAAGGAGAAAGTATCATCATATAATCGAACACACATACAACGAGTCTTATGAAATATTTCGTTGATAGGACGATAGCGACGAACAGACCTGTTCGAGTATGTGTGTACGTGCCAGAATCCGTGACACGCGAAGATTTCTCTTTGTTTACATTTTTCCGCACACCAATACATGCGTTTTGAAAAAGAGTTTCCGATTATTATCTCATTAACCGTGAAGGATTTTTAAACAGTGACTATAATCGGAAATTTTAAGCGTAAAACTCGTTATATAATTACACCCCTGTATACGGAAGATAAATGTATGCCGATTAACAAAGGAAAAACCGGATGTTTTTGCTACTTGTTGATCCACTTTTTTGGGTTCTTAATTCTTTGTGTTGTTTTGGGATTTTTAAGAATAACGTGCCCTTGAAATTATTTTGTAAACATAATAACAAAACCTTCAATTTCACCTTCATCTTAATCGAGATCATTTTTTTCAACAATTAAAACCTAATTCCGAACACTAAAATTAAAAGTTTTAAACCTTGACGATGTTTTATAGCATTCATTAAGTTACCTAATCGATCGTAAATGATGTTGAAATAAAATTAAAAAATATCCACAATAAAGATTAAAAATGTACTTACCTCAATACTATAAGATTTTTTGATGGCGAACATTTCGCGATTTTTTTGAGCTGCTGCAACTGCTGCCATAATTCCTTCTTCTAAAATATTTTCCTCGAAATGAAAAGATAAAGAACTTTTTTTCAGCCTGAAACCACTGTGGATGTTGGATCACTGCTGATGCCGGTGCGACAGAACCGTCAAATCTCCAAATACGCTGGTACGGAAGAAGAGTTGATGTTTAAGTCTCGTTTTCTTCGGCCTCGACCACGATCAATGACTGATTGTCGTTGTTATTAATTGATTAACCGTCTGTCGAAGAGCGTTGAAGACGCACGGCTTCTGTCGAACGTGAAGAAGCAAACCAAAGTGATTGGGTCGCAGGGGGTTCTGCTGCTTTTAAGTAGTTCTGGCCCTACCCCGACTCGGTGATGGCCCCCGGCGGCCCCCCAGTCACACGGCTTCGTCGTTCATTGCGAAAACGCCTGCGTGCGTCACCAACTGATGGAGATTGGGGATCCCAACCTGCTGGTTACTTATGCTCTTAATCCTCATGTTCAACTTTATACCAATACTTATCTTCATTTAATTAATAATTTTTTTTCTTTGATTATACTTAATATTTAAGATAATATATTTAATTAGTTTTACTTTATTAATGAATTATGTAAATAATCAATTTGATTTTATCATTTTTCCTTTATTCATGGATTAGTTAAATATCAAATAAAATATTTAATATTTATTAATGAATTATTATCTGATATCAATCAATCCAATAGTGTCATAATTAAAATTTATTAATTCATACCTTATTTATCATACTCTGATAAATGAAACTGGAACAGGATATAATTATAATTTACAGTTCTCTCATTTAATTCTTAAACTACTAAGACTTTTTCGACTTACTAAGTTTTTTTTAATATGCTTTGAATCCCATTAACTATGTAAAGCACCAATTTCATCTAATTCTCACATTTTCATATATTTCTCGATATTTATGAATCTGAGAGCAAAAATGAAAGAGAGTAAAATTATTAAGAATGAAATTTGTAATAACTTTTATACTAAAAATTTTTTTGTAATATATTCCAAATCCCGTTATTTACATCAACATTGTCATAAAACACCAATTTCATGAACTTCTCACATTTTCATGATTTTCTTGATATTTATGCATCTGAGAGCAAAAGTCAAAGAGAGTAAAATTATTAAGAATGAAATTTGTAATAACTTTTATACTAAAAGTTTTTTTGTAATATGTTCCAAATCCTGCACGCTACCATCAACATTGTCATAAAACACCAATTTCATGAACTTCTCACATTTTCATGATTTCCTTGATATTTATGCATCTGAGAGCAAAAATGAAAGAGAGTAAAATTATTAAGAATGAAATTTGTAATAACTTTTATACTAAGAATTTTTTTGTAATATGTTCCAAATCCGGAACGCTACCATCAACATTGTCATAAAACACCAATTTCATGAACTTCTCACACTTTCATGATTTTCTTGATATTTATGAATCTGAGAGCAAAAGTGAAAGAGAGTAAAATTATTAAGAATGAAATTTGTAATAACTTTTATACTAAAAGTTTTTTTGTAATATGTTCCAAATCCTACACGCTACCATCAACATTGTCATAAAACACCAATTTCATGAACTTCTCACATTTTCATGATTTTTTGATATTTATGCATCTGAGAGCAAAAGTCAAAGAGAGTAAAATTATTAAGAATGAAATTTGTAATAACTTTTATACTAAAATTTTTTTTGTAATATGTTCCAAATCCTGCACATTACCATCAACATTGTCATAAAACACCAATTTCATGAACTTCTCACATTTTCATGATTTTCTTGATATTTATGCATCTGAGAGCAAAAGTGAAAAAGTACAAAATTGTTAACAATAAAATTTGCAACAACTTTCATACCAAAAAATTTTTTGTAATATGTTCCGAATATTATATTAATCATACTTTGTTAAATGAAACTAGAACAGGATATGTTTATAATTAACAGTTCTTTCATATAATTCTTAAATAAATAATTTCTAGAGGAGCATTCTTTCCTGTAAAACACTTTCCTTGATACAATTTCCTTTGTTTTCCGCTTCTACAGAAAGTAAAAGAAATTTTCATCATTACACAACACGAAAATTTCACACAACACCTGAGTAAGTTTATGTGTGAAAGATCAATATAAATAAAACAGGAACTTTTACACAAAAAGTTCTTATTATTCTTGTTCAATTTAGTGATTTAAAGGTCATTATCACTATTTTGACAACAAAAAAAGTGAACAATTTAAAACCTTGGCGAAAACCGAAATGATGAAACTGATGAAAGGTCGGGTTTGAGACACTTCCTTATTAATGGATGAAATTCCCCTTGTCAAGTACACGTAAATATAGTGTAGATTTAACATAGTAATATGATGACAAATAATTGTCACATCACGTGAATTCAGGTGAATAGCATTGGAGTAACAACTGGTTTTTGCTACCAAGGTTAGAAATCGGTGTAAAGTACTTGTTCCGTTCTACGACCTGGTTTTTACTTTTAATAGAAATTGAAACCGTTTTGAATATTCATAATAATAAATAATATTTCTTTTCTAATTAAATTGACGTCGTTTTAATAATATTCTAAGATCCATCGTAGATTATGGATTACCTATTTCATAAGGATATCGTGAAATATCAATTGCGTTATGTAGAAAAACGGAGGTAACGAACCATGTTTCATTATCATCACAAAAACTAATTAAACAAAAAGAATTACAAAAGCTGCAAGGGAAGTTGAGGTTTTTCTAAGATCGGCATTGAAGATTGTGTGTAAGTGTATGTTAACTGAGGTGCAAAAAAACTGCAATTTTCTGATATATCATTAAATTTCGTTCCGGAATGATGAAATACTTTGGAATATTGCTACAGTAGATGTCCGCTTTTTCATTATATTGCCAAACACCATCGCTAATTGGAGAATTAAAAAAGATTTTTTTAATATTCTAATCATATTTCGGTATTTATTGTATCACTACATACTCGTGGCAAGGTGATGGAATTTACAAAAGAAACTAACAATTTGTAACTAACAAACAAAATCATTCTTGACATAATTGGCAGAATGCACATGATGATGTTTTGTAAATAAAAAAACAACAATATTACTTTGCATACAATTCAGGAAACGATTTCTAAAAATAAATTTAATGGTCCACTGATGTACGAGATGCGCTCGCACGGTTCGTGTTGACGAAGAAGAAAAACAAATTTAAATAGACAATCGGAATTTTCGTCCTTGGATTGTTTCACCGTCCAGAGTAACTTACGAGATCACGAAACAATGATTATCTAATAATTAAAAAAGAAAAAAACCTTTCAGTGCTAATAACTACCCATAAACGATTCACATTGAGACATTGTTAGTGTCCAATTTGAAATTTTTTTCTAGGTTTTGTATTGAATTTGAAAAATCTAAATTTATAGCATTGATTTAAAATTCTCAAACGATTTTAATGGTGAAAATCGTTTTTTGGTATCTCGATTAATTTTTGAGCAATCAATCTTTAAAGTTATCCCATAAAAAATTATCGATTCAAATTGACACGTTGATGGTGTTGAATTAATTTTTTTTTTAGGTTATGTATTGAATTTGGAAAATCTAAATTTATAGCATTGATTTAACATTCTCAAACGATTTTAATGGTGAAAATCGTTTTTTGGAAACTCGATTAATTTTTGAGCAATCAATCTTTAAAGTTACCCTATAAAAAATTATCGATTCAAATTGACACGTTGATGGTGTTGAATTAATTTTTTTTTCTAGGTTATGTATTGAATTTGAAAAATCAAAATTTATAGCACTGATTTAAAATTCTTAAACAATTTTAATGGTGAAAATCGTTTTTTGGTATCTCGATTAATTTTTGAGCAATCAATCTTTAAAGTTACCCTATAAAAAATTATCGATTCAAATTGACACGTTGTTGGTGTTGAATTCAATTTTTTTTTCTAGATTATGTATTGAATTTGAAAAATCTAAATTTATAGCACTGATTTAAAATTCTTAAACGATTTTAATGGTAAAAATCGTTTTTTGATATCTCGATTAATTTTTGAGCAATCAATCTTTAAAGTATCCCATAAAAAATTATCGATTCAAATTGACACGTTAATGGTGTTGAATTAAATTTTTTTTTCTAGGTTATGTATTGAATTTGGAAAATCTAAATTTATAGCATTGATTTAAAATTCTCAAACGATTTTAATGGTGAAAATCGTTTTTTGGTATCTCGATTAATTTTTGAGCAATCAATCTTTAAAGTTATCCCATAAAAAATTATCGATTCAAATTGACACGTTGTTGGTGTTGAATTCAAATTTTTTTCTAGGTTATGTATTGAATTTGGAAAATCTAAATTTATAGCATTGATTTAAAATTCTTAAACGATTTTAATGGTGAAAACCGTTTTTTGGTATCTCGATTAATTTTTGAGTAATCAATCTTTAAAGTTATCCTATAAAAAATTATCGATTCAAATTGACACGTTGTTGGTGTTGAATTAAATTTTTTTTTCTAGGTTATGTATTGAATTTGAAAAATCTAAATTTATAGCACTGATTTAAAATTCTTAAACGATTTTAATGGTGAAAACCGTTTTTTGGTATCTCGATTAATTTTTGAGCAATCAATCTTTAAAGTTATCCTATAAAAAATTATCGATTCAAATTGACACGTTGATGGTGTTGAATTAAATTTTTTTTCTAGGTTATGTATTGAATTTGGAAAATCTAAATTTATAGCACTGATTTAAAATTCTTAAACGATTTTAATGGTGAAAATCGTTTTTTGGTATCTCGATTAATTTTTGAGCAATCAATCTTTAAAGTTATCCCATAAAAAATTATCGATTCAAATTGACACGTTGATGGTGTTGAATTAAATTTTTTTTCTAGGTTATGTATTGAATTTGGAAAATCTAAATTTATAGCATTGATTTAAAATTCTTAAACGATTTTAATGGTGAAAATCGTTTTTTGGTATCTCGATTAATTTTTGAGCAATCAATCTTTAAA